GCCGCCCCAGCCGGCCCCGCGCGCTTCCAGCTCCCGGCGCCTGCCCCAGGGCTCCCTTCCTTCTCCCGCCGCGTTCCGCAGAGGAGCGGCCTCCGCCGCAGACAGGGCCGGACGGGCAGGGCCCGGGAGGCCCGGGATTTTTGGGTGGGGGCTCACGCACACGCCCGCCCTCCGCGTACCTACCTCAGTCACAGTGCAATTTCCGCACGCACTGTGCGCGCTGCACACACACGCACACGCACCACTCCACACTCATACCCACACTCTTACACGCACACTAGCTCTCGCACACACTTCAAACTCTGTACACACTCTCCACGTTCACACACACAACACTATCCACACTCCGACCTCCTCACCCACTCACACTGTATCTCATACGCACACTCCATGCACATCCACATTCCACTTACACATAGACACACACTCCCAACTCCACGCACACAGTGCAATCTCCATATTCTACACACACAGGTTCACACACAGTACTCCCACACTCACATCCTCATATACACACTACGCCCCACCACCCCACATCTTCCAAAGAGCGTGGTCTGCATCAGATGATTCTTGACCTTCATTACAGCACAAATATGATGATGATGTAAATGAAAAATGAGAAAAAATTCATCCATCATCCCACTACCTTTTCAAATAGCTATTTTCATTTATCTTTCTTTCCAGTTTTTTTCTTTTCCTTTTCTTTTCTGAAGATCTGTTTTTATTTTATTTCATTTTTTCCCCCCCTGGAGAAAGATCCAAGAAACAAACCTTTGATTGAAGGTTAAAGCAAATTTTGAAATACCATATACTCATAGTCCTTTTTTGATTACACCAGTCACTTTCTCTTGTCCCTGTGCTGTACGCCTGGGGTACCACAGGAGCTGCCTCCTCCCTCACACAGGCTGCTTGCTACCTGCTTAGGACTGGTTTCGGGGAAATGTAAGGGGGAGAGTCATGTTTTTTAATTGGAAAAATATATATATATTGTGTTAAATGATAAAAGACAATAGTAGCCTTTCTAGAACAGGGGTCCCCAACCCCTGGTCCGCAGACTGGTACCAGTCCATGGCCTGTTAGAAACGGGACTGCACAGCAGGAGGTGAGCGGTGGGCAAGAGGGCGAGGGAAGCTTCATCTGTATCTGCAGCGGCTCCCTGCGCTAGCATCACGCCCTCAGCTCCACCTCAGCTCCACCTCAGGTCATCAGGAGTTAGATTCTCTTAAGAGCAGCAGTCCCTGGTGCCAAAAAGGTTGGGGACCACTTTCTAGAAAATTCAAAGTTAAAATGAACACCTCCCACCCTCACAGTGTGGGAATCCACTCATTCTCCCCCTGACCTTCGTCTGTGCTTCCTTCCCTCTTCTCAACTGAATTTGTAACGAATATTTAATTTATAAGTTAAAAAATAAAACTACAAATGAATGTTAATAATGACAATAAAAATATTTACCCATTATGGATAAATTGTATTACTTTGTGTTTAAAATAATTTTAAAATAAAAAATTACAAAATTTGAAAGAAAATTTTAAATCAAAGAAAGACTCAAAACTTTTTTCCTGCCTTGACTGTCTATGGCTGAGATAGTTCTACAGTTGCCACACAACATTGTTAGATATGATCAAGCATTGGAAATTTTGTTTTAATAGTTTTGATAAACAAAAAGAAAGAAGGTAAAGAATTAACATTTTAGTGCAATCTATGTACCAGGTGCTTTCCTTATAAAAATCCTATGAGGTAGGGATTATGCCCATTCTATAGGTTAAAAAACTAAGGTTCTGAGAGATAATTTGCTAATGAGTGACTGGCTAGACCTTTAATTAATTCTGGCTCTAAAGCCTGTTTCCTTTCTACTACCACCCTTGTCGCTCAAAGTTGTTTTTGGCAGTGGCTGCTAGTGGGATTCTTGTCAAAGTCACAAGAAAGAATGTGCCTGGCTAAGGCACACCTGGCAAAGTTTATCTTCATTAAAAATAAAAATAAAAAATAAATTTTAAAAAAGCCCTCAAACAAAATAAAACCCTCATGATCACAGCCAGGCAACTCCATTTAAAGTGGTCCACTCCCAAACTTACCAGTGGCTCACTAGGCCTAGTACATGAAATTAAATCCCTATGGCCCCACCTCCCCATCCAAATAATTTCTCACCACCCCAACAGTGTCTCTATCGTTGTTAGAGGATTCTCCTTGTTACCACCCACCCTCTCATCTCTATGGCTTTCTTTTCTCTCCCCTCTTCTGTCTGCCCTAACCCAAATCCTGACCTACCTGGGGCTACTCCCAGCTCAAGTCCCCTTCCTGTACACTGCTCCTCAGCCATCACTCTCCCAACTTTGTTGAGCCCCTGCTTTAATTCCAATCTGCACAACTTTTATGAGCCCTTCATTCTAGAAGGTCTGGTATTGCTCTTGAATTCGTTTCTGTTACTTTCGACTCTTCCAGCAGAGTTTAAATTCTTCAAAGCTAGACCTTGTGGCTTACATGTCTTTTATTTTCTTCAGGGGCTAGTTTGTGGCTGGAGATGGTAGGTGGGCAAAATTTACTAATCGTTGGTTTTCGAGGGATTGTGTTCTTCATATCTACTGAGTCAGAAGGCCCACCACTCCTCCCTACATATATATCCACAACTCAAATGAATAAATATCTGTGTTCATCTCAAACGATGCCATATTCATTATCAACTTGTGTTCACATCAGCACAGACTGTAATATGTTTGGCTTCGGTTTTGCACTGTCCCAGTTTATGCTCCAATAGGACTTGCTGTGGACAGGACTGTGAGGTAGGTCAGCCTGATTTACTGAGCCTCCTCTCTTCTCTTTTCATCATCAGGCCCCTTTAGCCCAACTGCCCTGGACAAATTGCATATCTACATTCCCTGCCTACTTCCCACCCTGATGTCTCCTAGCTGGTTAGCTGTCTTTTTTTACTTTTGAAATTTACACTAGATGAGGCTTCATGCAGTGGGGATGTAGCAGACACAGCATTGAATAATCTGCCCCAACATCTATTTCTCCTTTCCTTTTCCCTATCAGAACACCAATTTTGCTCTGGCATCTACCCTATTCCACCCTGTGATGTGCTTCAGGGAGCCCAGCCCCATTTTCTGTCCAAAGCTTTCTCATCTAAGCTAGTGCTAGTGCCTGGATTGGATGTGGACTATGACAAATTCTAACCTCTGAGTCATGAGAGGAGGTATGCCGGGGACTTCTGAGAAAGGTTTCTTGGCTTCTTAGAGATATACCCAGGAGGAGAAAGTTCTTTCTTGATTGGGACACAGTTCTATATGTATCTGATGCTTGGAATGCTGCAGCTACCTTGTGACCATGAGGGAAGATATACCCCCTGAGGGTGTTAGAACAAACAGATGGTATTACTAACATCTGTGTTGACCAACTGGGGCTGCCCTGCCCCTGGACTTCTTGTTACTTAAGCCACTTTATGTTTAAAGTTCTGATACAGGGTAAGGATGGAAACAAGGGGTGGGGGACAAAGGGTCAGAAATGTAACCCATATTGATTAATGTTCATTATGTTCTGGCTGGCATTTTGAACGTGTCACTGAATTTTATTCTCATTCCAATCATATGTGAAAGCTATTATTGATGATGAAACTGAGATTCAGAATGGGTGAGAAATTGTTCATGACTACAAGGAACAAAAGTAGGCAAGTGATATTTGAATCCAGGCAAATTTGAGAGTAAAACTCCTCTCTCTCCACTATGCTGTCGTACCAGATTTGTTTGCAAATGTTTGCTGAGTAAATGTGAGAATAAAGTTTCCTGTTCTGTATTTTGTGACCATAGAGTTACAGATTATATCTCTCTGAATGAATGAATTGCTAACAGTGCTAAAAGAAGGAACTGCAACACTAAATCCAAGCCATGCTCCTAGATGTTGATTATTATCTTTCATAGGCAATATCCCTATCTTGATTGTCTACTCTTAAGGTGGAACTTTTAGCTTATTCAAATTAATTTTTTTTCAGATGACAAATCCAAAATATAAAAAGAAGAGAAAAAAGGAAAAAAATCAGAAGATGACAATGAATACAACTTCCCAGAGTTATCAATTACTAAATATACCCTTGATGTTTTCAAAAGCATACAATAACATAATTAGAATCATGTGTATTCTGTTTGTTTGTTTTTTTTTTACTAAACATGATAATGTGAGTACTTTCCTCTGGCATTAAAAATTCTTTAAAATTCCTGATATTAATGGCTGCATTTAAAATTGGGTATACCGTACTACAATTTATTTAGCACTCTTCCTATTATAAAATCCAAGTTGTTTTTAGTTTTGCTATTAAAAATAATGCTAGAATAATTATATCACACCTAAATTTTATTTACATTTCTCCTTATTTTCCTAGGATAGATTTCTAGAACCAAAACATAAACATTGCAAAGGCTGCTAATGCATATGTACAAATTGCTTTTCAGAAATGTTATGCCAATTTTATACTTCTATCCAGGCTGGTTAAATTGTTATTTGAGATTTCTCTGAATGCTTCCAATGATACTGTGTAGGCAGACATTACATGCACTAAGCTTTCTATGTATCTGTTTGCTTACTTATACCCCCACCAGACAATATTTAATTCTCTTAAATAAATTCCCAATACTACTTCCATTTTCTTTTTTCTGTAATATGAATCTCAAGAACAAGCCTTAATAAATGACTTGCATGCTAAACTGTGCATCAGAGTCTGCTTCCCAGAGACTCTAACCTGTAACAACTTCTTTCCAGCAATGGGACAGATATCTTAAGTTTAGGCCTCACTGCATACTAGCTTTACACAGTTGAGTTTTCTTTAATAGAAACAACTATTCGGTTTTAAATGTTTGAATAACATTAAATAATTGAATAATTTTAATACTCCAGAGTATTCCTCAAGAGGCTTTAATGAGATACTGAAAATAATTTAGAAATATTAATTTCCTTTAATGACAGAAACCTGTGCCCTATATATTGCACTTTGAGAGGACCGAGATATCGTAAAACCAAGAAAGGTGATAATTATGTGCTATAAGTCTCCAAGACTTGGGTGAAACTCTGCTGTTGGCCTTGACTCTGAACGGAGAACACGGTTCAGCGGCTCATGGTGAGCAAGTCCACTCACAACACTTCTCACAGTTGGCTTTATGAACGTTATATTCTTGAACTTCTTGGTCAAGAACCCCAGGAAGGGAAGAGAGGAACTACTCCAAGCCACAAGTACACAATTTTTGTCCCCACAAATCTAGGTGGATGTGCCTAAGGCCATGCTGTTTGTCCTGACTTGGTGTGATTCAGAGAAGACCAAGGAAAATTATAACAACATCATCAATAGAAACAACAATGATACCCACTGCAACAAAATAAAAAACAAAATCCAACCTACCAAAAAACAAATGTGATTTTTGAGCATCCTTAATTGTTACTCTGAATGGAATAATTATAACAGAACCCACTAGCTTATTTTATTTTACATGGAGACTAGGACATGGGAGAGTAAGCAGAAAGAATTATAAAATATTACCAAACATGTTTTAAAAGCATAATGTACAGATGGTTAACATCCATCAAAAAAATGTATCCA